GGATGGATCTCATCAGGTCCCATAGATTTGTGCACCTTCAGGTTCCTTAGATGGTCTCGAACCTGATCTTCTCCTACAGTGGGCAGGTCTTCATTCTCACAGTCCCCGCCTTTGCCTTCTGCGGCTTGGGCGGTGTGGCTCAAGCACTTGCTGGTGAAAGTGCTTTTTTGCTGAGGCAAAAAAGTCATTGAGTACCTCAGCCTTCTCCATATCCTGGCCTCCCATTTTCTTCCAGAGAGTGAAATAAAGTATGTGGAACCCGGAGAGAAGGCAGTGACTTGACAGTTGATGAAGTCTGCACATATTTTAATGCCTGAAAAAGAAAAACATTACTTAGGTCATGGTTACATACTTCGTTTTTGGTCACCATAGTGGCTTAAGTCTTCCTCTCCTCCCCGAGTCCCATCTCTGGGCTACCTTCTCAATTGAGTTAACACAACAGTTTGTCTGCAATCAAACTCCAAGCAAAAAAAGGCATTTTTAACCAGGATCTGGTTCACTACATGGCCCTGTGAATCATCTTTCTGTCACAACTGAAGAGTAGGAACAGGCAAGGGGAGGCTAAGGGAGAACTGCTTTACCAGACAGAAAAGGACTGTATAACAGTGCCTTATGAAGGGAGGCCATGAGACCAAAATAACATCCCCTCCAAATTCACTACATATTGTGTGGCCTCTTGTTTGTTTCCATTTCTTATGTCAAGCAGGAGTATTTTAGAAACTCAAAAAGGGCATGATCCTGCAGATCTCACTTTCAGATCCCAGTTCCATTACATCAAGGGCTTGAGGATTTCCTTTCAATGCCTACTGCTTTGAAAGCAAGTCTGCCAAGCCATACAAAAGAAGGGTTAGATCCGGTTGTGTTTTTTATGGCCTGTGCTTCCTTTTTTGGAAGCAAACATTTGTAATCTCCTTTTAGTGATTCAGTTACCTTTCGTAAAAAGAAATAGCAGTATGAGGCAGTGATGGACTCTGTGTGCATGCAGGACATGCAAAGCTAAGGCTGCTGTAGAAGTTTAATGCAAACAGAAGACATTAATAGATGTTACCATGTAGTGAACCATCCATGATCTTCCTGAGGTTATGGCAGTTTCACCTTCCTGATGATATGGCAAATGGGTATTGATGTCCTTACAGCTTCCTCTATATACCTGTCTTGCAGAAGGGGATCAAGCAGCCAGGTAAGACAATCTCAGAAAGCTAGCAGATGAAGATCATGGGCATATACTATGGACATAGGGTAGACTAACACTTGTGTAAGTGACTGCTGCATGTCACCTTCTTGTAGCGTCAGGACTGGGGTCGTACCTGAACGGCATCACAGGTCCTGCACTGTGGGCGTGCTCTTGGAGCTGGGGCTAGAAAAGGATGCTCTTCCTTCAAGACACAGACTGAGCAATAAATGATGCCCAGGAGGTATGAGCCTGGAAGATGAAGAAAGGACCTACACATCTGAAAGAGACCAGGAGTTGCAGAAGAGCCCTTGGGGCTGACACAGACTAGCTAGGAGGAGTGGCAGAGGCAGGCAGAGACCTTTCAATCCACATCCCACCTATAGGGTTGCTCCAGCTGTGGACCTGAGCTCAGCTGGAGACAGCAGGAAAAAGACATTGCAATCCTGTATGCAGTTGACTGTACCTGCAAATTCACCTCTTCTGCCTCACAGGGGGCTTACCCACCACCTTTACTGATGGTGCCCAAAAATCGCAGTGTGGGTGAATTCCCTCTGCACACACCAACTCCTGATTTACTGGGAAAACAGCCTTGGAATCCAAAAAGGACGAAAACCCATTAGGTACCCTGGCTGTGAAAGAGGGTGATGGCAGCATCACAGGCTGAGAAAGAATAGAACATACCTTGGTAATACTTTTAGGGCTCTGAACAGCACCATATAAGCCAAACAAAAAAAAACCCCAAAGACCCAACAGTGGAAATTCCCCTTACCTGGCTAAAACTAACCAGCCCTGACCCAGGAACAAACCTCCTCCAACCACTCCTCTTCCTCTCTCTGTCCCTTTTGGAAGTGGGGATCCTGCAGCAGAGGGGGGAAATGAGGAGGGAGGAGGAGAGGGGGAGGTCGGGAACTTGGGTCAGGTGGGCTGTGTGGGGATGTAGGATGGGGAAGGGAGACAGGACCCTCTTGGGTGAGTAGGGACATTGGGATGGAGCTCTAGGTGTTGAGGAACCCAGGGGCAAGGCAAGACCCTGCTTCCCCCACCCCCTGCCAATGTGGCCAGTCTCCTCCTCTCACAGCCCTGGTTGCCAAGCTGCCCTAAGACCTCTACCTGGTCTTAGTGTCTATGCCTTCACCACCACCCTGCACCCCCACTTTCCCCAATCCCTTCCCTTCTGTTCTCACACACCTCTTCTCCTCCCTTCTATCACCTGCACCAAGATCCTCTTTCTCTCAGGGTGTCTCCTGCTCTGAAACCCACTAACACTCCCACGAAGGCTCCAGCCCACCCATGCTCCTGGTACACTCTCTCCTCTGTCCAGTAGTGTTCCTTGTCAACCCCTACATGCAGCCGAGGAGCAATTATTCCTAGTTCTCCACTTCCCTTTCACACTGCCCTGCTCCTCCACTGCCCACACTGTAACCCCAAGTCCCAGTCCCCATTGCCCATGTGGCCTGCCTAAACTGCTGCCAGAGCTGCTTGTCCCAAGCACTTTTGTTCCCAAAAAGGTCCCTGTCTCTTCCAAAATTCTCTGCCTGCCCAAGCATTCTGTCCACTCCTGTGCTTCTTTTCTCTTCACTTTAATGGTTGGCAGATCTGTCTTTCCCTAGTTGACCTAACCCTCCTGTCCGCTGTATATGTCTCTCTCCCACCTGTGCAAGACCCCTGCTTACTCTTCCTCTTGTTTTCTATGCTGCTTTTGTCTTCTCTTACTTCATTTGTTACTTTGTATTTCTCCGTGTCCCCTTTAGGCAAAGAAATTTTTCACGCACGGTGTACATTTCTGCAGCTGGTGTCCTTTTCATTGTCATCTCTCCCTCTGAATTGTAACAGTCCCCTTTTTTTATTTGCTTTTTTTTGTGTACCCAGGTATTCCACATTGAACTATAAATTCAGTCCTAACTACACCTTCTTTACTATCTTCTTTTATATTGTGCGCCACTACTCAATGTTCATCTTTTTCTGTAAACAGTCAGAAATTACTGTCTCTATCGGTGTGATTTGTGGTATCACTTTCCTTTCCCCCCTCTTCTTTTTG